AACGCCGTCAGATTGCATATTTAAAAACGAAGAATTCCAAATTGACGACCTCTTAATCCCCGATCCCCTGGGTAAAAACGATCACGACATCAAGGCCTTCAACTTTATCATCAACACTAAGCTAAAATATCCTACTAACAGCAGAAATTGCAAATGGTTGGATGTGTTAGCTTAACAGGACTATCTACAGCAGGTGGAGTAGGAAGCCAAACCTTAACTTGATGTGAACGCTCGATGGAATTTTTACTGCGCTCGAATTCATGTGCTACAAAACAGTTTGTCCTGCAAGTGGTTTTCAAATATTACAAAGAGTCACACTCCTGGAATGCAAGAAGCGAAAAGCATCACTAGACGGGAGTCCTTCAAAAGAAAACTTAACCTTTTCTTAGAGACCCAGGAAAGCAGTGCACTATATTTTACCAATGATTCTCTTTTGATTATTAGATATACCCAGGTTCTTACCTGGAAGCGTCGGTGATCCATTGCTACTAGATATGGGGTCTCGATAAGCGAAGGCTTGTAATCCGTCCAGAACCATTTTAAACATTTGAATTTGTACCCCTTCATACTCTCACCCTAGATCTCCAACTTAAGTTCGTTAAGTTTATGAGAGGGAAGGTTGCAAAGTATTGCATTAAGTTGATGTCAGTTCATGTTGAAAACCCTGACCCTATTTCATAGAACTTACTAAAAACTACAGTTTAACACTCGCTTCCGAAATATGATCTTTTTTTATCATAACTAATGTCAGTTGGTGACGAAAGCTTTATGTAGTTATACCCCTAAACCACAATATCTGTGCAGTCACTAACATGGACGTATATCTTTAAATTTTCCGTGCCTGTGAGTACCCCTCGTACTACCGATAGAAGAAACTATACAAGCAGTGAACAGGTTTTTATTTTTAAATCTTGGAAGGTAGTGTCGAGCACGAGGTCACCTTATCAAACACACAAAGCTTTTCAACATTCAATATAAAATAACAGGAAATGTGGTCCCTATAGAAAACAAGGAAATGAGTGAATACTTGGGCTTCAATATTCTGACATATACTTAGATATTTGCGGCCAGTTCCTAACCAACTAACCTAAGTTGTTACAAACCCTCTCTTTTTTATTACGTGGGATAGTTCGACTGTTGAACGTTAATCATTACGATCAAAGTTATTATTCCTGTTATTTCATTGCTGGGTTTGGTTGGATTATAAGTAGCTAAGGTCATCGGTCCATCATGCCTTTACTAAAGCATTCATAAAAACGTTATTGTGCCACATTTACCTATTTAATAAATAAACAAGTACGGAGGCCCTGTATAGCTATTTAACTATATCTGTCCCACAATACTAAATCAGCGTTAAGGACCATCTGTATCTCGGTGTTAAACCTCTTTCGGAACCCGATAACCTCCAAAATGGTATGGGAACATTTTTAATCCGATTTTTTAATGAAAGAAACACCATCAAGTTCCAGTGTGCCAACAAATTGGACACACAAAATTAATGTGATGTTTCCAGAATGGTTAAGTAGTTCTTGCAATATTTTTTTTCATTTCCGTGTTCTATGCATACCGAAGTTATGCATATACTTTCTACTTGATGAATCAGACACAGGTTTGGAGTTTCATATAAGGCTTGTTGGAATAGCACAGTTATTTGGTGGCTAAAACAGGCGGTCTATTGTAGTGTCGGTTTATGACCATACGAACTTCGAGGGTGAACATAAGATAAAAGAAAATTCGCACTCACCATCTAACACGGAGAGGTCAGTAATTGTGAACGCGGGATAATCAATGGGAATGGAATATCTCGGCCATACAGGCATGCTCATTCTATATGACCTCTAACTTTTTGTATTTGATACGCTACTTTCTTCCCAGTCCAAATGTCATATTCAGAAGTGCTGGATGCCATAGTGCTAATTGTCGCGATAGGACTAGCCAGTGTAAGCTGTGGTGTGACTTCCACATAAGATCTGGTAGACTAGGTAGCCACAGCATGACAAATCCACAACTTTGGGATTAGGTCTATTGTTATGGTGTTAAAGATAAATGTACTACTATCGAACTAGATCGTAATTCCATAGGTCTGTAGACACCCTATCTATAAATCTTTAGAATGTATGTGATTAGCATAAGGTATACCACGAGATATCAATTATCGTCGTTTCTTGTCTTTCCACATTAGCTAGGATAATTCATTAAGGGTGAGAAAAGTAGTACAAAGCAACACACCAGTTGAACAGATTATTCATGAGAGGGAGGAAAAGCTGAATGGATCGCTGCTAGATTTATCTTTGATTCGGATTATCACAAAAAGACACAAGGGTAAATAAATGGCTAACAACAACACACAGAGAATTAGAAAGATATGATCATATCCGAACCAGCAATTTTTGTGGAAAAATGGAATACGGACGACTACGTTTTAATTGCAACAATTTTGAAATAGAAAAAACTGTGGCAGTGGGTCATCCATAAAACGAAATCTTAGGATTTATAGAATAAACCAGTTACGGAACAGAAAACTAATATTTTGAAGACTTTGAAACAAGTGAAACAGTGTTCCCAAAATAAGCTTTTGATGCTCGTCAAGGCTTTTTTAATTTTTTTATTCATGTAACGTTTGGTCCAAAAATGCGTCCATTCAAGGGCTTTCATTCAGCTCACTGAAACCACTTCGTTTTTCCCACATAACACGTCTAACTGTACCTTATATGATGAAGAAGGAGGCAATACGTAATTATTTCAAAATCATTTATTGACTTAATAGTCACTCTCATTGAATAAGGCAATATAGAGTGTTAATCACGCAAATTGGTAGTTTGAAACAACCTAATTTTTTACACCCTTGTATTTCGGGGTGACTAGGGAGTAGATTGATTTAGTTTGCAGGTAATCCTCCCTACTCCAGTGCCGTACTTAAACGATAGAGTCTTTGCTGACATTTCATAAAATTGGTTATAAAATGAAGTCAAACTATACAAAAATATCACGTATGTAATGTCCTAATAAAATTGTTCTCTCTAACACCTTTTTAAAGGTGGATCTTAAAGCTAGTAGAAATAAACGTCAAGAACAAAAGGGTTTGATATTATCTTTAGATAGTGTCCAATACGTTGAAATGTATAAAGCTTGAGCTGTATAGTTCTTGAAAGAGATGAGCATCGCGAAGTGTCTAAACATGATCTGGTGAGGTTACCTGACTAAGCGCCTTGAACTATAATGTAACTAGTAGAATTAATGCGGTCAATATCGACATCGCAAACTTAGAGAGCTGTTTATCTTGAATATTTATCAATAACTATGCGAGAACCCCTGGATAAAATTTTGGATCAGGTTGGCAATATTTCTGACTGGTGTGGACTCTAAAAGATGGTGGCTTGTGAAAAGACAAGTAGATGAGCCTCAGGTAACAAATTTTACCATTTGCGCTGACACAGCTTGACTTCAAGGTTACAAATAGACTATCTAGAGTTTAATTTGACTGCCAAGCGTCGAAAATCAACATTCACTCACAGTCCCCACACACCTCTGAAGTCCTGTCAGGAGCCATTTATTTGTCATCAGATCCTCCATCCAATTAGTCTTGTGTGAAGAACTAGCTCCTATACAAATCAAGCTAAATAAATCTGTAGAGACAGTGAAGTTCATTCAGCTTAAGAGATTTTACATTAGACGAGCGATCACTGAACGTTGAACTGTTTGCCGACTATCAACAGTGTCTCAGGTGGCAGCGCAGGCTAATCTGTGACTCGCTATGAACTGATCATACTACAGCGGTTCCATTCTATGCTACTCTGACTTGTCTTAATTACCAAATGCTGTTGTTTCAGTACAATCGTTTGTCCTTGTCAGTCATCATGGTGGCCAATTCACATAGTTATCACAATAGGATGAACCCAGTTAGGTATTAACCACGAGGCGCAGCTTCAAAGAAAGCTAGAATGTTCCACCATCCCTTTCCAACTTAAGTAAAACGCCCATCCATACAGTTTATTAAATTAGAGATTAACAGATCTCTCAACGCAGAAGATTGACCGTAGAAAATACCAGATGTGTTCGGTCTGAAAAAATCCAACAGAGAAGCTATGGTTCAACCCAGTTAAACTCTGTGAATTTTTTGCTATCAATAACTAAGCCGTTGAGCTGTGAATCCAATAACAAACACGAAGTAGATTGGAATAGTCGATTCTAAAAACCCAGTGCCAATAACTATAGGTTTCCTTCACTTACCGAATTAAAATGTCTTCTTTAAGTTACGACCGATTCATGTTGATTTTTGAAAGTGCTTTTCATTTAACCTGGATTTTCCGTCTCGTGGTGTGAGCTTACTGTTATTCAAAGTATTTAACAAGTTTCTTCAATCACTCATGTTTCCTAAAAGCAACATTAATCAATTTTCACCGTCTGAATGAAGGAACAGATTTAACATTAGGCTTTTCCATGTCTTTTCAATATCCCTTGTTGACACCTAAACTATCAGAAACCTTATGTGTGATAAGGTTCCGGACCTGATAAATGTGCTATTCTTGTTACACTATTAAGTATCAGAACAATGAAACCAGTATTTTCAATAGTAAACGGGTGATAAATAGAGTTGAAATCTACGAAGCGAGTTTCCTATTATTAGGGCTCCTTCAACTAGAGGTATGTAAAACCCAGAGTCGATGTCCTTTGCGGGATTCGAACACAACTCCACTTCCAACGATGTCGCGTGCCTGAGGTCTTTTTACATCACGAGACAACGAGATTGAAGATAAAGTGTAGGAAGTCAGGTCCATTAACTAACAAAATGGCTTATACCGATACATCAATTTATCTTCGACATCTGAAAATAACATAGGTAAATGGCTGATAAGGCGAAAAAACATTTTAATCATCAGTTGACGATACGATACTCTGAAATGGAAGCAAATCTGACAATTAATAAAACTTTGTTAATGAAAGCTTTTAGGAACTAGTTTACTATACTTCATATGTTGGAGTTTGGAATTTATTGAATGATTGAATCCGCGTGAGTTTTGGCGGTCAGTCTACTGCGCGTGTTGTCAAAAAGATGGCATGTAGAGTTTTGAGTTTGTCATTTTAATTTTTAGGCTAAAAGAACGAAGAAAGTTGGCATAGTTGGAAAGTATGGTGTTCGTTACGGTGCTTCTCTCAGGAAGACCATCAAGAAAATCGAAATCAGCCAACATGCTAAATACAACTGCAATTTCTGTGGAAAGGTAAACTAAGAAAGCCCTTTTGCCTATTCATCCTTTAGGATTCGTTAAAGAGAAAAGCAGCAGGCATATGGGAATGCAAGGCGTGCAAAAAGGTAGTAGCTGGGGGCGCTTATGTCTGCAGGTATGTAATTTCACCTCCTTAACCATTCTGTAGCACTACTGCCGCGACTACAATCCGAGCTGCTATTAGGCGCTTGCGTGATGCTCACGAGTCATGAACTATGTTTTTTTAAATATAGCTGGTGCACTTCCTGAATATATTTCTGATTTAGAGTCTTCGGTTGAGTGCTTTCAGGGTTATTCATATCTATATGAAAAGGTGGTTGGTAATTTTGTCAGCCAACAGGCATATATAATAGTGTGTTAGTCATTTGAAATACACAGTTAGATGGTCCTTTTATTATAATGGCCATGGTTGTTTCTTGGAGTCGCGCGGTTCTGATCGTGTCTTAAGTTATTGTATAATGTTAAAATACAAGAATTAGGTACCGCTTTACTAAGTTGCTTGCAAGTGAGTCGACTTAATTACGAAGTCAGTATGTGCATTTGATTCCTGATGGCAAGCTAAACATAAAATCATCTAGTATACGCTATTGCCCATTGAAGATCACCGCCGTATTCTCAGTAATTTGATTACCAAGTATATATCTTTTTCACGAATCTACTTATTGTTAACTACTATGGTTAGTTTAAAAATTTATACTCTTGTGGAGTGCCGGTATTTTGTTGTTTGTAAACTACTCGATGTTATGGGTTTTCCATTGAGAATTACTGAATGAATAGTCACCTAAGTTTTGTAAGGTGGATGTTTTTGAGTTAATCCTGTGTTAACCCGCTTTGTAAAGTAAGACTGCAGCTCCTTGCACTCATCCGAAATAGTTTGATCCACGTTAACATGTGATACGTTGGAGATATTTTTATAACAGAATTTGACATGCGCTTTACAAGATATAAGGATTGAGTCGAACTCCCATGATTTTGTACTTTTTGCAGAGCACTGAAAGGGGGTTTGGTGTTTTCGTTTTCAGTGGACTCAGTCGCTACAATTACTCGACCGTTGATATTGAAGTCTTCTATAAGTAGCCAATAGTTGTTTGGAAGGATTGCTGGTTTCTGTAATCGTATAATACACGGCAGCGGTTCCGGACATTCCCATGATCACTTTTAGGTTACACATAACCACTGTAATATAAGGTTGTTGATTATATGTGGTCGTACAATACTGTCCGTTCCACCATTCGCCTACTTAGGTTGTATCGCAAGTGGAAGGGTGAACTGGTCAGACTAGTTACTACCAAAAACATCACTAAAAAGTTACACATTGTAATACATTAGGTCGACCTAACCCCACAAGTATTCCGTTTATGATAGTGAATCCGTTAGCCAACTGTATACACTTTCTATGTGTAAAACGATGGATGCAAAAGAATATAGTTTAACGATATTTAGACGTCTAGATTCACACAGATGGAGGCTTTAGGTCATACGAAATCTATAGGGCTATATGCTGGTTAAAAAATTAGATTGATAGTGCGAGGACGAGTAACTGTTTGCTTATCTGACCACTAAGAACCCAAAAAATGTAGCTCACCAATCTCTCAGTTTTAGCGGGACAACCCAGAGCTCCAAAGATTGAGTCTCTACAAGCCATGCTAACCGTCGATACGACATAGTTTGAGTTATTACCAACTGAAAGTAAGCTGGATTGTTTTGGCTCTGACTGTTGTGATTTGTGACAATAATGATCCCTGTGAGCAGTTTCACTAGCGTGCTGAAGTCAGTAAACATTGGGTAGTCACATGGACTTGAAGGACGACAAAACAGGTCTTCATCTTTTGCAATGTACATGATGATATTTTACAGTAGACCACTGTTTTGACCCAAGAGTAACATTTGACAGCAGCGATCGAACAGGCATGTCGGTGTCCTGAGATTTCAGGAAATTCGTATTGTGATATCAAAGGCATTTTATGCAAACTCAGTTGTATAGTATTATTGTAGGCTATCAAGGTGACTAAAGAGCTATGTAGACTGTTGACTTTAAGCACAGAAATAGTATTAGTGTAAGTGTCTTGGATTTCTCTTCCCTCTCTGAATTCTCTGATCTACTTAAAGTACACAGATGCAGGGTTTGATTGATTCCTTGGACGAGAACCTGTGTATAGGTGCTTTCCGCATTTATCAAGTACCAGGTGATGCTCAAGGATCACTATGAATAACAGCCGATCAAGAAGTAGGTCGCTAGAACAAGATATCACATCACCCAACCAAGTTGTATGTATGTATGCAAATGTCCTGGTTAAGATCACTAAGATAATAGAAACCGGGGGTTGGTGATGGGAACTAAAGAGAGGTGGCGACAGGGTATATTTCCCACCAGTATCCCTTTGCAAATCACTCCTACACAGATAGAGATTATTTTTATAAACATCTGTGGCTGCTTTTACGTTGACTTGTATATTTTCCATGGTCCTTTCTCGGTATATGCGAGTTAATACTTGCCAAAGGCCAGTAAAAGGATAGTTAACTTAGTTTGCATCCGTCTATAATTCAGAACATTAGTATTATTTTGGTGTAGAAGTATATAAGTTGCCAGAGAACATATTTAAACCGTGCCCATTCAGCTAAGTTGTAGGTAAGCACTCAAACATATATATTTGAAGATCATTAACGATAACAGTATCACAAGAGGTAAATCTGTGAAATACACAACTCATTTTGATATGGAGATCAGGACAAATCCTTAATGCAATAAGACAGGGAAACTGTTTCATTGACCAAATGACTATTATCTTAATACTATGACAAATTAGTGTAGTGATTACAGGGACTAAGTGTATTGCAACTAATCAACTGACAGAATTTCCTACGTATGGGTATCTTGAAACCTAACATCGTAAGAAGATACTTCTTTATTCATAAACATTGCAGCTTTTAAAATAAAGTTCAAAAGCATATAACTGATATTTTGACTACGATACTTTCGGGTCAATAAATACAATTAAACAGTATTGGGACGAACTCCGCACGTAGTCCTTGTAGGGTTACTGCCGGTCTCAAGCCGGGATAGAGGAGGAGAAAATCATTAACACCATTTAAAGTCCGCCCCGGGAGTCGAAGGATCTTTATTTAGAATTCTGATACCTTATGGTGAAAGCCGAGATTCTTTGAAAATCACGAGGCCGATGACCCTTCTAACAACCAGAGCAACAATTAATGTAGGCACATCGAATGTCTGGACAATATGGGAGACCGGGGGGACCAGTCTAATAGCTACGGAAATGAGATACAAATAGGCGGTGCGCAAAATAAGCGAAACCCATCGGACCTAAGCTGGACAGAAAGGATTAGCTTCGGGAGAGGTGCCGTTGTACTCTGGCCATAAATAAGAAAATGCTTCACACAAGAAATCGCATTAATGCTTCCTAAAGAAACACGAATCTCGTAGGTAAGATGGTGGTTGGAGGTAGTCAACAAAAAACCCTGGGCCCGGGTTTCGTGGTATTTGGCGCCCGTCAGCAAGATGTACCTGTAATATTGAGGGGAGTGATGCTCCCTGACGGGTTCGATGCCATGTCATCCGGCTTCACAGGCAGAGACTTTACTACTGGGCTGTCCGGGCCACGACTGACCTCCTGTAGGATTGAGATATATTCACAATTGATTGATCACTAGGTGGTGATCAATGTCATGTGTGTCAAGCTCTTCATAATACACAGTGGTAACGTCTCTTCGTATAATGCATGCAATGCCTATTCACCTAGACCGATGGCCACATCGATAGGATTCAATCTGCACTAAGAAGGACCTGACACACATGACATTGATCAACATCCAGTGATCAGTCAACTGTGAATCTCATAGATCCGGGATCATCAAAGCATCTTTCAAAACTGGGGATTACGACGAATGTTGTCCAGTGATATGCGACCACCAATGATAGCAAACAAAACGATAAAGATCGGTTTTATGAAGCTGCAGTCAGTCAGAGAAAACCCAGGAAAGGAACTGACCATCCTAATGGGAGACCTAAACGCCAAAGTCGGGAAAGACAAGACCAGACATAAAGGTATCATGGGACGCTATATTTATTTATTTGAACACAAATATTGGTACAAGAGAGCGCCAATATATATGCGCCACACAAAACAATGAGAATTCGAAAAGAAAGGTAGGGAGCGTAAAAAAAAAGAGAATAACGAAGAGATTGGTGTAAGGTAGTGTAATAATAATAATAATGAGGGAACGGAAAGGTACAATCAGAAGAAATCTTCCAGTTAAGGAAGACACAACCACTTTATGAAGAAAATAAAAGAAGGTTACAGCAGAATCGCCACTGGCTTCTATTCTGAGCCACATCTGATAACGTCTCCAGCCACTGTGTAGCACCACCTCTCGGACCCCGACCAGGGAGTCGTGAAGGACCGACAGAAGCCAGTCCTTTGCAGCTTTCTTTCATACTACGACACCATGTCATACAATGACCACCTCTCCGCTTTTTCCAACCAGTCCCAGCGTCGGCAAATAATGCACGACGTGGGATTCTCTGGGACGACATTCGTAGAACATGTCCAAGCCACCGAAGTCGGTGTTTCAAGATGGTGACATCGATTGCATTATCACCTGTGCCCGAACACACGATGTCGAACCTCTGCATTACTGACATGGTGTTGCCACTGGATGTCAGCAATCCTTCGGAGACAGCGATGATCGAACACAGAGAGTCTTCTAACGTCCTCAACTCGGAGAGGCCAGGTTTCACAAGCATAGAGCAAAACTGCTCTCACCGACGCGTTGTAGATCCGACCTTTTACAGCTAGACTAACATCACGAAGGCGCCAAAGGTGGCCCAGATTGGCATAAGCCGCTCTGGCTTTCACTGTTCGTGCATTGATCTCATCACTCACACCCCCACCAGCACTTATGCAGCTACTATAAGAAAGGATGTGAGAACAAAGAGAGGAGCTCATATAGTCAGACCACCAGTTGGTAGTGACCAAGATGAAACTGAAGCTAAAAAAGCACTGGACAACTGGAGAAACAGCATTAAAAAGCTTTAGTACAGCTTTCTTTCGAGATACTGACAAACTAAACGAATTAAAGATAGCTCTCAACAACAGGTCCCAAGCCTTACAAGATTTACTGAAAGACGTTGCTGTGGAGAACAATTGGGAAGGGATCAAAGAAGTACTAACTTTAACGTGTCAAGAGGTTCTGGGTCGCAAGAAGCATCATGATGAAGAATGGATCTCTGTGGAAACCCTGGACAAGATTCAGGAAAGGAAGAACAAGAAAACAGCAATTAACAGTCGAACAAGAACAGAGAATGTCAATGCACAAGCTGGATACACAGAAGCAAACGAGCAAGTGAAGAGGAGCATTATAGCTGACAAGAAAAAATATATGGAAGACCTAGCAACGACAGCGAGAAAATCTGCAAGAGAAGGAAATTTGAAACAGTGAAGAAGCTAGCAGGGAAATATGGTAGACCAGAGAGACCGATCAAGGACAGAGATGGCAAGACAGTCACTGAAATTCAAGAACAGAGGAACAGGTAGGTAGAAAACGTTGAAGAAACCGTTGGACAGACCAGCCCTACTGAACCCACTACAAACCGAAGCAACACACTTAGACATTCTTATAGGTGTCACTCCACCAACGGTGTAAGAAATCAGGATGGCCATAAGAAAAATTAAGGGTGGAGAAGCAGTGGGATCAGACAACATACCAGCTGAAGCATTTAAGTCGGACGTAGAGATAACTGCAAAGACACTCCACATTCTCTTCAGAAGGCTTTGCGAGGGAGGTTAATCGCCGACAAACTGGAAAGAAGGACACCTCATGAAGATACCAAATAAAGGATATCTGAACAAATGTGAGAATTACAGAGATATCACACTACTGTCAGTACCAGAAGTTTTCAACAGAGTGTTGCTAGACCGGATGAAAGACGCAGTAGACGTCTAACTTCGAGATCAGCAGGCCATGCACAGATCAAATCGTCACACTACGAATCACTGTTGAACAATCAATTGAATGGAACTCGTCACTATACATCAAACTGCAACACAAGGCAAGCACTAACCTGGAATCCTCAAAGCGAAGGGAAAAAAGGAAGACCAAAGCATAGAAGGCAGACAGCAAAAGAATGAATAGCAGTCGGGAAGAGAAATAGTTAGAGAATCCTGGTCGGTAGCCTATGTTCCATTAGGGGTAACAGGCGTAAGTAAGGAAGTACTAGAACAAGATTGTTGCAGACGGTAGCTGAAACAAACAGTCGTTTGTATAGATCAAACCCGAGTACACATTTCTCAATTACCATCATCCTATATCTATAGTTCAAAAATAGATGTATATATTTTATTGACTAGTGTTGCCATATAATACCCATTTCAGTCTTTATGCATTCAACGATGTTCGCTAAGTCGAGGTTTTATCTGTTCACTATGATGAAGTAAGCGAACTGAGAAATCCGGCTGTTCGACCAAATAGGAATGTGGTGGTAAATAGAACAACAGTGAAGGCGATATAAAAATTGTTTATAAGAATATATATATTTGAACAAAATTTATACAGTTTACATGTTAGATGCCAAGACAAGAAATTTTGGGGACATGTGCACTGGAAAAATAACCTGGATAGGAGGTGATGTAGGGATGAGGCGTACATCAACAGATTGAAATATTAGTTGGCACTAACACTGTAGTTTGATAGAATAACCTACAGCATTGTAGAAAAACGAAGTGCTAAGTATACTAGGTACATATGTGAAGTACTTATCTTTCTGGAAGTTTAACAACGCAAACGACAAAGAATAATATTCTTAAGTGTATGTTGTTTAATATACTGATCTTTTAGCCAATAACTGAACACCTTTAAAAGAAAGACAACAAAGTATTGACTCGAAATTCTGAATAATGTACGAAATATGAAGTAAAGTGATGTAGCATACGGTTAATTGGACTGAGACTGGTCTCACATATATTTCGATGTGAATTTACCTCAATTCACCGGTGCTAATTGCCAATAAAATTTTCGAGAGAACCATGACTGAATACACAAACAGACTACACATTGAAAGTGAGAGTTTATTCGTAACTAAATAATTTGCAAAGATAGGGAGAAAACCTGAAGAGAAAGATAGTTGTAGAAGAAAGATAAGACGAGCTTTACAAATGTTCTAACTGAAAATAATGTGAGGTTAACATAGCTGCATATTTAAAAAAGAATAAGTATCATCCCAAAATTATATGATAAGATCATGGGTGGTTTGTTAGTGGAATATCCATCTGAACTTGAGGCTTTGCCCATTCGACGAATTCATCAATCAGTACTGGCCAAGCACCTGTAGGTGAAAGATAATTTTTGAAGTGAGAAGCAACTATAAAACAGGAAATGATTCTTACCAAGGAAAATGAATATAGATATGAAACGAATCAAGCACCATAAAGATATCATTGGATCAATTAAGTACATTTTTACTACACTGCATCATAATATCAAGAAGTTTCAAACATTACGTAATTTACCACACATTCAAATATTCTTACTCAAATCCTTATTCTATTGTTTTGTTCCGCAATCAGTTTTAATCCTGGCATTTAATAAATAAGAGTTTAGCTCATTATCAGAATCTAGATGTGGAGCAGCCCGGATGGAGCGACGGGCTAGATACATGCACTTAGTCAATTGAGTTAGGGACTCTGCTTCATGCAGACTTCAGTATAGGCATTTGTGAAGTATTGACAACAATAACAATAAGTGTAGTTATTTAACCTAGTGCATGAGCTCGTATTTATTTACGAACATTACTGGAATAGAAGACTGTAAAGTTCTTCGACTGGTGGTATCGTGCAATGTGTCTACGTGTTCAGTGAAACGAAGATGTATTGATGGTTAATGTATGAAAGCCAGATCACGATATTCTGATGATTACTTCCATTCAACTACCTAATACCAAAGTTTTGATTTGGTTAGTGGTAGTTTTTTGTTAAAGTATCCGTGCTCGATATAAATCTTTAAAAAAATGCGTAAATAAATATAATCTTTATATACCTTCTTCATCGTAATTAGACATGTCAGGATAAATTGTTTCAACAAAGTCTAGAAGAAGGTCCCATGTGTCCTTAGAAATTGGACGTTTATGATGTTCCTAGAAATATCAAGACAAAAGAAACCGATAAGTCAATATAATTGGCTGTTCAGTGGTGAGAATGTATACAATACTCAACAGTAACACAAATTATAAACTAGAAAAAAAGTTTGTTAGTCGAAACCATTTAAAATGCATCAGTAAGTAGTTAGACAAAAGAAATATATCTGCAAGACCTGCTTACAATATAGGCCGAAGTACTGGTAATATGTTTTAATAAACAATGTGGATTTAGTTGGTAGAGCCAATATTATATTGGAAACTCTTCCAGTTGTCGATAAATGATTGAGTAACTCAGTTATCAACCTTTTAATTTCATGCTGAAACTCATTACTCTGATTTGAGAATCTAATGTTCATATTAGCCATCACATAAAACGTGTATTTTTTGTGGTCGGTGAACTGAATTCTTTTAGGAAATACTATGAGCAACTACTCAAATTAGACATTAGGAAAGTGGGAATTAAGCAAGTTGCATTACATCCCACTTATATATATTTCAATTCACTAATAGTGTAGATAAAAAATGTGAAAATTTAAAGAATTCGCTTTAATTTACCGTCAATTAAATACATCTAACAACTGTTCAATTAATGTACTGGTCTATGAAATGACTTACTTGAAGGAATTTAAACCATAGGGATAAATGACAAAATCGACCACGTAGAAGAATTTCCCAGTAGGGAATAGCGTACTGAAGAACTATGAACAAATACACGCACAATGAAGTAATACTGGTAAAGAAGTTTAATTAACAAAGGAAATAATGGTAGCTTACTGATTTAGATTAACCCATTCACTAGGTAGAGGCTTATATACTTGGCATTGAGCCATACTAAATGTGATGCTAATTAGTTGTTCAAAAATAGTAGGTGAAACGTGGTTCTAATTTAAAACTTTGTGGTTTAAAGTTGATTACCTTAACCATCATTTCACAAACTGCTGATTTAAGCATTAGATATTCCAACTACTATGGGACAAATTCGGATGTAAGTTTAACTGTTTTACGGTTGGTTAGTAATCTTTAAGTTAGTCATACACAACGACTGTCCTAGTGCATATATGCGTTGGCCTAACACAGTGAGGTTTAAATCAATAAGTGGTTCTCTTAGGGGGCCACTCCCTGACCCTTCGACCTAGAGGTCTAATCCACAAGACAGTGGGGCAACTTCAGGAGATGCAGTCCCATGGTACCCGGTGGCCAACGATTGGTTCACATGCCTTGTTTCCTCAGGACCCTGGAGCTTATGTGCACCATTAGTTTGGAATGAGGGTTTTTCAACTCCCCTGGGTGGATCTTCCGTGTCCACCAACTGGGTTAAAGCGCCGGACATTCGCTTTTCGTTCTCTCAATTTTGTAAGCACCCCCCGCCGCGAGAAGGCAGTGAGTAGAACTTCCCTGGTAGTGGCTCAGTCAGTCAGTTACAACGTAGAACCAGGCATATACATGCATCGGTCTAAGTTGCCACACCTCTATAGCACAGCAAGACGAGCACCAGATTCATAGAAGCAGTTAGCTCAATTGTGTAATCTATAAAGGAAGGATTTTATGTGAGGATATAGTGCAGAAAGAATGAATTATTTCGTAGAAAGATATGAAATAATTTAAATCTCATAGTTTAAAGGAAGACAAAATGTGTATACACCTACGCCATTGTGATCGATTCTGAGCCATATTACCCAGAGTCTCCAACCATTGGTTACGACAGTCATGAGGACCCCAACCAAGTAGTTTGCATCTACCAACATGGCTAAGACTAGAAGTTAGTGACTTCAAGCACTGATGGCACGTTTCGGTTAGACCGTCCCTAACTTTTTTCCAACCATTCCCAACACTAGTCAGCACTGCGCGTCGTGGTAATCGGTGTTCAGGCATAGGCAGTGGCTGTACACGCGTGATCATGTGACAGCATTTCGAAAAGGAGAGCTGACTCTTCCGACTTTCGAACGTACTAGGGCATTCGGGTGCTAAACTGAAGATAGTTTTTCGGAGGGTCAATTCTTGAACCAAAAGAACGAGTTTACAGAAAAGTAGAGGAACGTTTTGAAATACAATCTGATGGTAGCCAGTAATTTGTGCCTTTTGGTAAATCACTTTTAGTGCTCAAATCTTTAATATAATGGGAGACGTTATGAATAAATTTTGAAACGAATACACAACATTAACAATAACTACCATAAGAAGTTACTTAAATGAACAGAAGACAAGAATCTACCTACCTAATGATTTACTTTCATGTTTATCCAAATTAGCGAAACCAAATGTGAATAAGTATAAAGAACGAAAATTTTGTTTGTCTTCTATATCACTTAATAGACTAGGAAGTTTATTACGCAAGGAACTGATTGAGTCACACCTAAAACAAAGGAATAAAGAGTACAGCAAGTACATTATTTGTGTATCTCAACAATTAGATCTTAGTTTGAAACAAATGAAGTCTTCTAATTACATCTATATGTCGAGTCAAAACGTTAAGAATTCTAAATTGCTATATTTGTAATACAATTTCTAGTCGACCGTAAAGTCTCAGCTATTTTAGTAGTCGCATAATGCGAAGTTATTCTTATCCTGCATAGAACATACAAGAACATTCTTTTTTGGAGGCTATATAATCTTGTAATAGCAGGACCACATGTCTAACTGGTTTTCCTTTTTTAGTCAACATTTTTTCAGTTTGCCTGGTCAAATCTTCTTGAAAGGCTTCTCCAGAAAACTTGTCTGCATCTTAATAATATGGTCCTGGAGATCCAAAAGAATAGATCAGCACTCCTACTAGAACTGTCTAGCACTAAATCTTTATTCCTCAAATCAAGTAGATGGGATTTATGTCCACTTGAAAGTAATGGTCTGGCTATTTCTTCTGCAAATGCCACACGACTATTGCATCTTTCTTATTCAAGTAATTTGGATAAATATTGTTCGTTCGCAATTTTTTGTTCTGACTTCGAATTCAATTGAAGTATTATGGCCAAGGAATACTAGATAGTAGAATACAACTTTGCCTTCATTAAATAGCAATATAACCAAAAAGCTAAATAATTTGAAACTGTAATTGCACTAATTTAAACTGTATTGTTGATATACCATCTACATGGTATAATTTGGCATTTAGCTTCAAGGGGCTTAACTCATTAAATGCGTATTACAGTAGCCGGAAATAGTAGACACCATTGAAGTACGATCAGGTAATTGACCATGGACTCTTTCAAAACATCTCCGGAGCGGTAGATCTGTTACTAGTCGAGTGATTTTAATTTCAATTATACATTAGTTAGTTAAAGTTAGTCAGTCAATGTGACCTTTCATTGATTGAGGTGGATAGAAAGAGAGCCTAGTTATCATATGAGTTTAAACAATCTACTCAACAGGGTAGGATTAAGATAAAAAAGGGTCACCGTCTGGCTAGACCAAGAAATATGATCGAGCGCTAAAACCACTGAGTTTTCATCTAAGTTATGTAAGTAACTGTGGATTTCTTGGATGGAATTCACAAGGATTTATGCGTCATGAATTAACATCATTGGGAACGATGGATTAAATACACAGACTCAAAACCTTTAATATCATACTACTTTAAGTCTTCTATTTTCTGTCTATTTTTCTTTTGATTATTGACTATCATTATTTTCACAGTGTTAGTTTTCCAATTATTAGTTGTTTTCATAAAGGGAAGATGAAATGTACTAATTTAAAATAATAATCGGTTGCACCCAGTTGTGTTCTGTTGAGATGTCAGACTACTGGATCCTAGGAGGTTAGTGGCCTGAAGCTTAAATGCTTTCCCCGAGACCTGGGGGCTCTAGGTTCGATTCCTGGTGGGGTCATGGGTGTGCACGGTTGAGGAGTTCCACACCAAAACGAAACAGATTTCTGGTGCCTCATGGTTTCTAATGGTTATTTGACTTACGTCTGTTCGTGATCTTAATACTGAGAAACAGTTATAGCACCACGTAATGTTACAGAACTAGATTTCGTAATGATTCCTAGTGATCCCATCTTGATATAATCAATTAAAATAGGATTAAGCATATTAAGTAGATTTATTTTTAACAGTACTCAACTGAAGAAAACTAGTCTCTAACTCGACTATGAAGTTTAGAAAGTAAGCAGTGATTTCCATTAAATTTGACCAAGACATAACATTTTAACCTGAAGTATTATAAAGATAACTTACCCCAACTCTCTGAACCCACGAAAAAACTCCTCGCGAGTAAATTCTCCTTGGGTCTTTGCTGAAAACTTCCAAGCTAGGATTAAAGTGATTAAACTTTCTGGGTCAACATGGAGATCTGTGACAAGAAATAGCTCCATCCCTGTAGCTAGTATGCGATCGGGACACTGAGGATCTACTCAGAAATATATAATGGAAAAAATGGCAATAAATTTTAGTTCAAGAAAATTTATATCATCCAACGAAACGTTTGTGGAGTTATTTATAACTACAGAGGCAGAGATATTGTTTCCTTGGATTTATAATATCTAAACATGATTCTAATATTTCTAATTGTGAAACAAATATGGGTCAACGTCGAAGGATTTACAAGAAATGGCTGTATTTTTCAGACAAGTTCGATTCATGTAGAAAATCGAGACAACTTGTAAATGAAACTCAAATCCTCTGAAACAATGATTTAGTTTTCTATACAACTGAGAATTAGAAGTCCAACACCAACATACGGTAATAACTAATTCTAAAAACTTAAAACTTTGGAAGCAATATCAAACAGTAATAAATTAGTGATACTTAAGATGTCGCCGCTACACAGAATATATCAGCAGTCAAGATATATTAGTCTGTAATGAAGTTTCGGTGAGATTGCAATTTCGAATTACATTCCAGTTTTAGCATCTGGAAAGCATTACTAGTCTTAAGATAAAACATGTAATTCAAAGCCAACTAATGAATGAACATATGTTGGGTTATTAATATAGCAATTCATTTAACTGACATCAAAGTAATGACCTAATTGAAACAATTATTTTTTCCTTTAGAAGCCATTCCAACTAAAATGAAGTTGCATTAGAATAATAAATTCAGAGCAAACATGGAGCAATCTCTGAAAATATTCCAGCAGTTGTGTTCTAAAGATGCGAATCAAGCTGACTTACTGGAGCTTCAGAACTCGAGGCACTTTAAAACTTTCACTTAAAGTCATGCTGACATTCATAAAATGAAGTGGGACCCGGATATCCCCAGATACCAAATATGTAAAGTGGCTTAAGCACAATCGATCAGTCTCTTATTTGCATATGTAAATCCTGTGAGCATTGACTCGATATTGTCTTAAGTCACAAGCATTATAAGAAAAAATGGATGGTGGCCAGAAGTGAAATCCAGGACGTGAAATTCGTCATATTTGGGACTTGTCGGCCGAATGTATGTGCATCCCAGAGTTGATGCTCACTCCGACATTCAAGGCAATCCGCACGGGATGCACATATACCAATAAGACTGATCAATTGCAGTCCTAAACATTAACGGGAAGCCCCCAAATGCCTTGGTATGGTCGAGAGTGGGGAGAGTAAGCTCGCCCTCTCCAAATGCTCTCACATGGTCACATGCATACAAATACTAACAGGGAAGTTTTGTTCACTGCCTTCTCGCGGCGGGGGTGCTTACAAAATTAAGAGAACGAAAAGCGAATGTCCGGCGCTTTAACCCAGTTGGTGGACACGGAAGATCCACCTAGGGGAGTTGAAAAACCCTCATTCCAAACTAATGGTGCACATAAGCTCCAGGGTCCTGAGGAAACAAGGCATGTGAACCAATCGTTGGCCACCGGGTACCATGGGACTGCATCTCCTGAAGTTGCCCCACTGTCTTGTGGATTAGACCTCTAGGTCGAAGGGTCAGGGAGTGGCCCCCTAAGAGAACCACCTGCTTCTGAGTATCCTAGTCCTCACACAAATCATTTGATTTATGTGGTGTATATCTATTTGGTGCCTCCTTGTACCAATGTTTATGTGTTTAAATACATAAATAAATATGGGGAGATTCAAACAAACAATAGAAAATAAACTAAAACTTCACCCCATTGCACAAGGTAGTAGCTATCTAGACTCAGCAGCAAAGTGAATAACATGATTGCGTTTGAGGTGAATGGTACTTGCTTCGAGTCCCGAAGTGAACATCAACTCTGGATTGCAGATACATCCAGCCGAGCCCAAAATAGGACGAAACGCGCGTCCTGGATTTCACTGCTAGCCACCATCCATCTTTGCTTATAATGACTCGAGTACAGTTGTTCTTTAACACAAAATATAATCAATAGTTCATTCTCAGGTTTTAACGTCATCGGAAAACCGAGTATAGATGTTCAACGCATTAACGCTTACCACGATAACGCTGGAACAGATGGTCAATTTTCGCCTCATTAATAGTGGGTCCTTGAGGAGTTGGATTCTGTCTGTAGAAGTAATCTACGGCCTGTTCTAACCTCCAATTGCTCATTTGAAGGCAGTCAATAGCAACCTTATCAGAACTTCGAGTAATAGCACTGAACTTTTTTACGCGATCTCTTTGTGAGGAGCTCAGTTTATACTGAAAACAAGATTCAAAAAAGATGGACTGGAAACGAATGTGCGAGGAATATTACGCTCAAAAGAATAAAATCAAACACAGCATTCTACCACGTAAAATTACATTTACTAAGGGGAAAAGCTCTAAAATGAAGTATAATTACTGAACATAATAGGAACGGCAATGACCTTGAAATGCTTAAGACAAAATAATGGTTACCAGGAAAATATACTTATAATCAGATAATTTGTATTACTACTGTTGAAGAGAGAAACTACATTGTTTATTGGACATGGATGTTAAGCACTTGAGTGATTATAACGAGACAAAATGTAGTTTTTAAGAACAGTCTACTCTAATTTCCTCTAGAAATAAGGAAGTCGAAAGGAACGTAGTGAGGTTCGTTAAGAAGGAAGAAAAAAATTCTTGTTACCATGTCCAAAACAGTTGTATGACTAGTTCTGATCAGTGAGAACATCACTGAAAAAGATGAGCATTAATAATGTCTTAGACTAAGAAAAATGAAGAAACAACCTACTTGCGCACAGCTTCAATGTTTTGTCAACTGTCATTGTAGCTCTTACCAATCAAAATATGACAGACTTAAAACAATGAAAAATAGGAGGACTTATAGATATATAATTATGAATGTTGTTAGGAACGTAGGTCAGGGAATAGTGTTGAGGCATTAAATTGAGTGCAGAAATAAAAAAAATAGTAGCAGACGATTTCAGAAGAATATTAACTCTTTGTGATAAATACATAACATGTGTTTGTTTATTGTAGCTTCTGAGGCATTAAATACCATAATCATGTGACACTTAATTGGAGATGAGAAGCAGAAAAATTGTGGGGTTGAGATTTTAAACCTAGGGAGGGTAGTATTGAGTCTACATCCTCCATTAAGTGTGTAATCACAGACTTGAAAATGCATATTGTCTTACCTAAGGTATTCTTCCCAAATTTAATGAGTCATGCGAAGAACTGTGGGGGTAACTTCAACAGGTTATGCACACTCATTTATTGCATACCGATTTTACTGGATTTGACTTTTATGAGATTAATCTTCTCTTTTTACAGTCTCTGACCGATTCAAAGTAAAAGATTCTGCTAAGTGGAAACCCCGATAGGATACAAGGTCTAAAACTGAGCGAACGTCAGAATGTTTAAAGTATCGAATTAATTAAACATTAGTATTCTATTTATGTACTTAGAGCATATAAATCCTGATTCTGAAGTCCCATGTAATGGCCCTGATCATTAGTCTTACCGACTTGTTATATTAGCCTAATACTGTGTTTAACACCAGCATTGCTTACTCGGTAGTTCCAACGTGCTCCAATAGTGGTCAGAAGACACCTATGACTAAACACTAGCAACTGAAGAATGTTTTTTTAAAGACCGTTTGTTAACTATGAAGCAAATAACTCAGTGTACTCGTGTCTTTGATAACAGACGGATATACTGACTACAGTACAAGTGGCCCAAGCCAATCAAGCTTAGATAAATCCGTACTGATATTTCGTCAGATACTAACCAATAAGGCTGATGAGGCGTCCAAGACTAGTGAAATGACTGACGCCCTTAACTATCTCACTCAGTATGATTAAGTTAGACTAGTCCTGAAACAAAGTCGTACATTTGGAAGGGAAAAATGTATTCTGAACTAATAATTTGAGTTATGCGCTGCTAGCACAGACACCATCTACATAATCGCGGTATTAGAGTAAGTATAGTAAGCTTGAGAAATGGTAAGGGGATAAAAATAGTACGGATAGAGAATAAGTTGCAAACTGCACTTTCAATTAAACATGTCTCTAATACAGCCACTGATGTAAGGTATTGGCGGTGCAAACAAAGACTTGACACAAACAACTAGTTACCGTATTAAAAAATTAGTAAGTAACACTTATGGTGTCACTTCCTTTGGTTTGATGGGATGCTCATATACAGAAACCGACAGGGTTTACTTGCAGTCCATCCAAGTCACCAAAATATCTCGAATGAAGGATTGATGGTGTAAAGCTGTTAAGGGGGACTCGGTAGTCCAAGTTACAGAACTCACTCTTAAGATTTATGTAGACAACACACATCAAGACATACGCATCGTATCCTAATATCCCAAACTCCCTATCTTGGGGAACTTTTGAGGAAGCCGCAATACAAAACTTTTGGGGAAATGGTACAAAGCCCCCAGAATTTTCCCAGGTCCGAAGGAATTTGGGGTTTTATTGAATATTTTCACACAATTTTACAACACTAGGATTTTTCTCAGAAATTCGGGGAAGACTAACAAACTTCTCATGACTTTGGGGGAAACACCAAAAATTTCCTCAAGATAGAGGGACTGCGACATTTTATCCAACAAATCAGCAACTCTACACATTAAGTAGAGTAGTCCAAGTAATTCAAACGTAACGTTTCATAACAGAGAAGAGTTATGACAATTATGAAGGTACAACGTTGAATGCAGTTATTACTACCGTAGTTAGCAGATAGGATATATCTGAGTTTAAACAGTAAAGCTTATGAGTGATGAGCAAGTACAGCTTAACTTGTAGTCATTAATGAGTCACAAAAATATGAGGCTTCTGTGGAAGATGGGACAAACCTGGGTAGCCATTGTAAGAGAAAAACTGAAATTGGCGGCTAGAATGATAGCACGGAATTCCTAAAACTACTGAATTCCATTTCCTCGGATAAACTTGAAGTTGACAATGAATCTCATATTATTTGGTTTTCAGCCTATAGAAAGTATGTTTAAATAACTGTAGACGCTGCACTTTTTCAAATGTCTACAAAAGATGATCAATTTGACGGTAACCCAAAGGTTCATTTGGTGCGATCCTCTTCATTCTTACAGGTTTTACTTTTCTGTAACATATATTACTTTGTCCCATTTGCGGTTTTAGAAATTTTTTTGTTTATTTTAAAAGGAGTTGTGCTCCCTTATTCTCAAGGTATATTTGCCAGTGAATTGTCACTGTTCATATTTTTCATATTTTCTGAAATTCTACGTATACACTGCCTCATGATTTCCAATTTGAAGGAGAGCTTAGTCGGAGTTGTGATTTCCTTTTTTCTGTTTTTACCAAATGTTGTTTTGTGTGTGTGGCTCATACTTTGGCAATCATACGTATTTTATATTGACCTAGTCTTAAGCTCTATAATGCTTATTTTGTACTTTTTTGAAGTTGTTTTTGACATTATGGTTCTTGTAACATTGTCATGTGTGTCTGTTTAGCTTATCTCCTATTCGAAAATATTTTTCGATAATGAACTCAAATACATTTAGTGTTCCCAGTGGTTTGAATAAATCGAATTTTTTTCGCCTTCATAGAGCTAAACGGAATCTGAATTGTTTGAATCTTTCCGTTTAACATAATCGTCGTTTTTATCACGAATGATGTCTGTATTCAACAGAATCATATGATGTTGGTATCAGACTCTTTCACGTATATCACATCAGAGAAAGGTAGAAAAAAAAGTGAAAGTAGTTACAACTAAAGAAAGCTGATTGAAGCTAGAGGGATATAAACATGAGACCACTATTCTGACTACCTGATATATAAAAAGCTATTTGTTTTAGAGAGTAATTTCCTCTACAGAATACCAATATACCAGGAATATAATTTTGTGATAGTCACATATATTATTTGCATGAGAAGTAAACCATCGAATCTTTTATTTTTCATGACTTTACTAATGTTGTCCGTGTTTTTAAAATACTTGTTAAGCTCCTGTGACATTATGGATTAAAATGCCCTAAGTATATATAAACACGTAGCTTCAACTGTCATTTCAGTGGATAATGCTGCTATGAGATAGAAGGGCGCTTATACTATTCAAGTGATTTTCGCGAAGTATGTCAAGCGATATCAAAATGAAGTAGGAATAAACAGTGCGATGTACAGAACTGAAAATCTGAAATCTGTTCATTTCGCCCAAAAGATTATGGATGTTTAGTTTTATTTATCAGTCAGTCATAAATGCACAAAGATGTCACAGATATTCGGTACTTGACAACGACGTTACTCGTAACACTTGTATAATCGAGAGTCTTAAAGCCAGTCAAACCAGAATTCATGGATAAATGGGTTGGAAGATATTTCTGGAAGATAGTCAATATATCCAGAAGTGATCTATGCTAACTAGTTGAAAGGGATGCGTAACACGGTGTATCCAACGATAATCTGGTGCGGATGCTTGCCCGTTTTGAATTTTATAAGGTAGATGAGCAATTAAGTTCTCAGAATACTTCCTCTTAGGCGTCCTTCTCCTATTTTAGGAATATAAAGAAAGAGAAATTTTCATCGAAAGTATGGTAAAAATCAAATAGATGTATCATATCGCTTCTAAATTGCTGAACTCCATATATTTTTGCTTAATATGCTTAATTTATATTAGGCAGCCAACTCGTCTCTACCACTAGGTTACGTTCCTCAGCTACAGAAACATCAGGCTGTCTAATTTTTTAGCTCTTCAGACAGGTATCATTGTAACTATCCCTGCAACACTAACACCATGTAGGATAATATCACCTCATTTATTAAGAAGCTCCGGCCGTTAACTACCCAACTGAAAAATTATAATCCAGTTTTCTCAAGTAAGATTATTTGATCTCCATAAATAATTAATTTTAGAAAGACATAAAGTTGATCTAATATTGTCTTTAGACAATAAGACGAAAGAAATCACTTGACTTTTGTGATTATTTCTCTAATAAGAGGACAAAAGGTTCAGCTACTAACGTTGCATACATCACTTTAGAAATAGCCAACGTCTCACTCTTTCGGCAAATATGGTCGACGTCTAGTATTTCGTATGAAGTTCTGGTTAAGTTAGGTATAGTGTGTAAAATATAAAATTTCTGAAGCTTTTGAAAACTGAATGATTGGGCCATATGAATAAAAGCCCTTTAGTAGTAATTATTTTATAATCCGCCATCGTTTTTCATCTAATGTCTTAAATGACTACTGGGTTTTTATTATATGACTTTCTTCAGCTGGACATGGATGATAATCACCCTAACCAGTACACGTAACTTTATTCAGACTGGGATTGATTTTAAAGCACCACCACTTGTTAAGTTCGTCGAAGAAGTTTGAGATAAGTTATAGTTCAAATGCGTATGTATTGCAAAGTTTTATGCTTAATAATCGAGTAATCAATAAATAAGAGTGAGTGACACTGACGCATCTGTCTTAATGCACCAAAACAGTTTAAAAAAGGGAAAGTTATAGGTCATGATCATAAAAATCAGAAGATTAGGATCAAAACTCAAATGAGATCCCGAGTATTATCGCTTTCTATCTCCAACCTGGGGAAAGTTTCTCATCTTTCCTCATGAACCGTCATCAATACAAAGTTATATCGTTTAAGCAAACCTAGTAAATTTTACTTTGGACATTTTCAGATATTCATTTACTAGTGGTGAAGAAAAATCACAATTCTTGTTTTCGCGGTCCAAGTAGTAACCTTTCTCATAAATCTAAATTCAAACATAGCTTAAGGAGCCTTAGTAGTGGTGACAGGTAATCATCTAACCATTAGTTTGGTTTTCCTGCTCTTCACTTGGCTGGCGTCAGAAAGATGTAATTAGTTGATGTTTGCACGTTTCGCTATTTTCTACTTCCATATTTTTGAACCTGTTTTTGCCTGTAGTATCAGCTCGGCAAATTTACATAATAGAATAAACTTTGAGTTTGGCTAAACTTACGTAGTTATCTTAATCAACAGTTGACTTCGGAAAGTAAATAATACTAAATAAGCCAAACGATTCGGAACTTAGCTAGCTTTTGAATGACTTCAAAAATATTTGGATCTTATACATTGAATATCCAGTTTAAAATGCTCACTGTTTGTTTACTGAAGTGACTTTATATGTGAATAAAAAGACTAAGAAGAGTGAATTTATTCTTTATTATCAGAATATTGATACTTTTGGAAAAATTTTCATTTTTGTAAAGGAGGAGCAACAAGTATTATGAAATAAAGTGAATTTATTTCGTTTAGTGTGTTTCAAATCACTTTACACGCACAATAATTGGTACAAATAAATACACAGTTGAAATGTTTTACGAACGTAGTTTTATATGTAGGTCCAATAGGGTCATTTGTTCACTAATGAAGAGTATCTATAACAACCTTTAATTTACTGGTGATTAGAGTAGATGAAACAGACCATACTATTAAAAAGTAGAAGAAACATATGCAAACTGTTATGATTGAAGTAACAACTGAAGATTGCTCGATAAAATCTAATTAGGTAAATGGCTGAATTGAAACAATGTTTAAAAAATGAAGCTAATTATAATGGATATAAAGTGGAAATGAAAACTTGACTTAAATGAATGACAGAGCTTTTATTTGTGGTCAAATAAAAATTGATATGAAGTATGGACTTATAGGTAATATAGAAATATTAGTTTTCAATGAATTCACCATACTACTGACTCACCATATATCAAACAGTGTTGAGTGGAGAAAACAAATAGGAGATGAGGTAATTATATTTTACATAGCAGATAAATTCGAGAGCGGAAGTGAAACAACTAGTTTTCAGACATACAGTCAAATATACCTTCTACAATATTGCTATTGGAAAAGTTAAACGCATATTAGATAAAATATATGCTACGTGTTAAAAGTACCGAGCTTTCAGGCTTTCAGTGGTTTTATGACTTAGATAGGTCCGTGATCTCAACAGTATTCAACAATCTCCATATCTTCTATACTGATAAAGTCGTTTTTCATGATATAATTAATGCCTCAATAATCTCATGTCAAAAGACTTAACCGGCTCATCCAAAGTAATTTCTTGATTATCCGAAGGCTATTTTTATTATGGAATTCGACTGAATAACGTGAATGACAGTTAACTTATCAGAGTTTAATCTATTTAAAGAAAGAAGTATAGTCTTTTTAATGCATAGTAGAAGGTAGTTTACTTAGGTTCTCAGTGTTTCAATAATTATCTGTCATTTTAAGTGATTAGGACAGAATATAAGATAAATATAAAGTATCTTAGCCTAACATATTAATACTTATCGTGCGATAATTTTGAATGGGATATATATGATCACGTCAGTTTTTGAAATATTTTACATAAATAAGTATGAATGACTTATTGCAAGTTCGGGCACATATACTTTACACAAGTGAATAAATTCCCATCCCCACTAAACGTTGAATATCTTAATTTTTCGGCAAAAATGATCTCAAAAGATGCTAGGTACACAAACAGTATATTTTACTAACAACAAATAGTACTCAAAACTCAGTTTATGGGTATAAAAAGATACGTAGATGAATTTTAAGTTTACTATGAGACTCCTAAAGTACCAAGCAAATCCAGGAAAGATTTTTAGCCGATCGATTAAACTAACGTAGCGATTATCGTCAAAATGAAAAACGTTCGACAATACAATATAGTCATATCCTGATAAGTAACCGTGAGCTTGAAAAATAATCAATCTTTTGTGACTGTATATTAATTAGAAATCAAAATTGTATTGTACTATTTTATTTATTATTGTTCGCGAATAGTTCATATTACGAACAAAAATTATTTTCTGAAGCAATCAACGCCAGGAAGGACAGTGTAACTGTTTCCTTTCACTTTACTAATTATCATCCGTTTACGCCAAAAAATAT